GGCTGATTGGGTTGAATTATGACTGACGGGACGAATCGTTTTATTTGTTCTGTGCAGGACTAATGAACATGGAAATGAAATGACTAATGACCCCTATTGATGTCTTAACAGAATTTTACAGATTGGGATGGCGTTACACGAAATTGGTCATGCCCTCGGTTTTTTTCACACACATTCAAGACATGATCGTGATCAGTACATCCTAGTCGACAAAGGTGCTGTTGAGGTAAGTTATGATCGTATGTGTTTCAGTTCACTTTTTGACTTCAGTCTTATGCAATCAGACAATTCAATAAGGAAAATGCGTCAAGAAACCATAATTACGGTGTTCCCTATGACTACGGCAGTATCATGCACTACAACTCCAGACAGTTTGTTTCTATCCACAATTCAAAAAGTAATCAAAGATGACTTCCACAGTTTCGCAAAAGACTTAAGCGCCAAGGGCCGTCGCTCAATGGTGCCTATCGACGCTGGATACGTGGACACTCTGGGGTCACCCTTTCTCTCGTTCTACGATAAACTCATGATGAATTTTCATTACAACTGCTTTCGTGAGTTTGTGTGCTTGATTGACGAATATAAACGTTATTCAAGTCAAGTGACATCTTCAGAGATATGCAAAACTAAACCAACGGAGGTGGTAAAACACAGTCCGAATAAACAACACTTTGAAGCTTTCAACAACGACGCAGCACTGAGCTCACTTGGATCAAAATGCGGCGAACGCTTATGGTGCGATGGCTTCTCCGGGCGTAATAGCCCGCACGCCGAGCGCTTGTCGTACGGCAACGCACCTTTAGGCAGCTCCCGCTTCGGCCGCTCACCTCTCTTTGCTTCACCCTCCAGCGGACCGGGTCGCCGGGGCCGGTTGGGAAAAAAATTCCAAAATTCCAAAATCTATGGTCTTCTCTCAAGTCTTCACAGCGCCTTCGGCCGGTATGTTGGCTTTAAATCAGCCTCAGCCAGTTCATATAAGTTCAAACAGTACAACCTTAACAACTTGCAGTACAAGCACCACTACCACAACCACCACGACTAGCACAGCTACCACGGCTTCCACAACTACCACAACCACTACACCCATCACGACTAGCACACCTACCACGCCT